CATGTATTGACTGATAGGTCTACAACGTGGGATCCTAAGAAAAAGAATTCCTGCACTCATTGCTTGACAATGATTGATCCCGTAACGGATGGTTCGAGTTTGCAGAGATCTGCTCCAAGCAGCAGACAAGTAGCCATCGTCCTAAACAAACGTGGCTTACTCGGTATCCATGGCCTGCTGAGGTTATCATGGAATAGAGGACGTGAGTTCCGCGCAGAGGTCGAAAGACTCTCCGGGATGAATATGGACTTCGTCGCAAGTTCATCACTACGTGTAACCCTCAAGCCAACTCTATTATGGTCGAGCGTGCTCATCAGACCATACGAACTTGATCGCTGTTCAAAACATCAAGTGCCAAGACGACCCTGTGAATGGATCCTGGGATGGAGTCCTACGGCGGTTCGCTTTGCAATAATGCCATGATTCATACCACCTGTGCGCGACGCCCGCCAGCTCGTGTTCAATCGTGGACGCGATTCACAACGTCGTTCGAAGCAACTGGAAAACATCAAAGAACGTCGCCAACGACTAATCCAACAGAAAACAAGATAGGGAAAACGCGATGCGTGTCCCTCATCAATACAATGTCAACGAAGTGAGATTCAACAGTATCAGCACCGCAAGTACGTCAGCCAAAGTACAAAGGTCCTTACACTATAGACGAGTAATGACAATGGCACTGTACGGCTCCGACATGCACCGCCAATGGCGGCACAGTCTACCAGACTTGGAACATTAGGTATATACACCCATACAAGGCCTGATCCCCTTGTAGGATTGCCATCGTGCGACGCACATGTCTACATCCAAATCTCATGAGAGTGCCCCGCACTTTAAATCATATGTTCTCCTTGTCCGACTGCTGTCGGCCTTCTGTGCCCCTTGTCAGGGGGCGAATGCAATACACGGCTCTTAGCCTTATTCGCGACTCGATCCTAGATAGGGTTTGAGTTCGACTCATGACTGAGTCTCTCGTGAATAGTCATTTGAGACAGGGTTCTCAATGACCGCTCCGGCTCTAGTCATACTAGGTTGATGATGAAACATCGCTCTAGATATTTAGCCAGCGTGGAGTACTTCCACGCTACTAGATAAATGCTAGACAAATCTTCCACGCGTTCCGTTTTAGGATCGTGGAGATACGTAGGATTACTACCGCAACCTACTCTATCACACTTTATAGTCTCCCGCGGGAGACCAGATCTACGATCCCTCGATGATGATCTCTCTCGTTGATTAGTTTTCATAGCTTTCTAATCTCTCTCATAACTTTCATTCTCTCAAACTCAAAACACTCGAAAGATCTTTACACTAGCTTTTAGCGTAGTGCAACATCGATGCCTTGGTGGATGCCGTGAAGGTTAGATTGGCACCAAAACTCGACTCTGATCCGGTGGATGAGATCTTTATCTGCCGCCTAGGAACCAAAACTTTCTCTGAACGCACTTCCATTAGGGGAGACAAGAAATTGGAAGAGCTGATTGAGGAATTGGGGAGTAGAAATCCTCGAGTGATTGATCATCCCTTGATCTTGGTGGCACCCGCTCCACCTCAAAATCCAGCAAATGGTAAGAAGAATTCTTTATTTGGTTCGTTTGTTTGTTGTTGAATTTATTCAAATTGTCTTGGATCTCCCACCATAGGAGATGTAATTCAGCAACAACTCCCACCTGATACAGTAGCTTTGCTAGTCGAAATGGCGGAAGACTATTCGAAAAAGAGAAGAACAATTGTGCTCTCTAATGCAACACAAGGAACGAAGAACGATCTGATGGACATGCTGGGTTTAGAGGAAAAAGGTGTCTCTTGGCCAAACAAGCCTTCACTTCCGCAATGCTCTGGATTTGAATGGTTTCACAGCCAGGAGGATTCTAAGGAAAATCGGAAGGGGCACATGGGTCATCTTGGAAAGATGTTGAGGATTCCGCAGACCCACCAACTGGCAGATGTGCAACCAGACAAGGGGCTGCTTTCAGTGGAATTCCATCCCACAGTGACAGAGAGTCGAAGAGTGAGTGGGACTATGGATGTTGCCATTGCACGAACCCAGCACGTTAGCAATCAAGCGGTTCGGAACAACATAGAAACTTTGCTGGAATTGAAAGAACCGAGAAACATGCAAGGTGCTGACCACTGTCCGGAAACAATTGGCGAACACATCGCTGCATCTTATCTGAACATCAATCATGCTGTGGTATCAGTGTTGGCAGATCTGAACATGAAGTGGACCTTTTTTTGGTTTGCCATCTGCGATGCAGAGATGTCCCTCTGCAAGGTCTTCCTCCAAGGTAATGATGCTGCAGCGGGGGCAAAGTACCTTCTGGACAGCCTTTATGACAAGTCAGATGGGCGTGCCCTACCAGACACTTTTGCCAAACGTCAATCTCTTCAAGCTGTTCTGGATGGCCTCGTCCAGCGAAAGAGGGCGCGAACAGTTCCTGATGGTGACAATGAGCAAAACCCCGACCAAGATTCGTAGCCTTCTTCGTCAAGTGGTGCGGCACAGCCTCCTGGTTCTAGTGCTGACTCCTCGTCAGAAAGGAATGAGAGCTCCGGGCAACAGAGCAAGCAACACGGCACAGGCAATGGTGGAAGTGCCCCAATGAGCATGGCATCTGCATTGAGTCTTTTTGCTCCTCCAGCTGACAGAGATGTTGCCAACGAGCTCGATCTGCTAGATATGTTGGACCCAGACGAGCAGTACGAGATTGTTAAGTCATTTGCTATGAAGCACATCGTCCCACACATGAGGGGATAGAAGTGGGATTCCATCGTTAGCTTTTCCTGGCCAAAGACAAGGACAACACAGATGCTTCGATCAGCGCTGAATGGGGTTTAGTGTAACGTGATAGGATTTGGCTGCACGAAGCTTTTGATTCATATTTCTGGTGTATGATGAAGAAGGCATTCTGATGCAGCAGCGAGTCACCAAGAAAAGACAGTGGAATATGGGCTGAAAGAATGGGACGGAGAAAGTTTGAACCTTAAAATAGATCTTGGCCCAGATGCACCCACCAAGGAAACTCTCAAAGCTCGATATGGGGTTTTCCTGTCCAAGGTTGATGACCAGAAGAAGAAGGAATTGAAAAACGTCTCGAGGAAGTGGACCTGTTCAAGTGGAGGCATGGAATCATCTCCATTTGAGCCAAAATGCACCTGCTTCTTCATGGTTCTGCGTCGTTTCGTTCTAATGTTGGAAGACTCGTCATAGTTTCCCAGTTCACGTTTGTTGCTGATAGTACGTGCTGTCATGACACTCGTGGTCATATCTGAAACCCCTAAGAATCCACAAAGAAAAAAGACCTCATCATCTCGAATGGCCAAGATCAGTTTCCAAAGATTCACAAACCCACAGGGGGATATCCATACGCTCTTCCTCCGCCGTACTAGTAGTTTCCACGCCAATAGCCGTTCTCGTAAGAGCGATAGTAAGGTCTGTAATATCTTACTAGTACCCCTGTGGTACTGAGGAAGGAGGCTCCTCGAGACTCGACTCTCGACTCTGGTTTCACGTGCGGGACCTGACTGAAAGAATCTTTCAAAGATCCAACGACCGTCATTCTGCCACAACGCTGCTTCCATTGAATGATTCGATTGATTCCTTCAGTTCCTACAGTAGCAGTCCAATAGAACATACATAACATACAACCATGACAACAACAGCAACTACAAAGACAGTGACGGTGATTCATTGCTGGTCGGCCCCTCGATCCCGGTCTACCGCTCTTCTGTATTCATTTGAAGCTCGCGATGATTGCGACGCGATTGATGAACCCCTCTATCGCGAATGGCTGATTAGTCGAGGCGATGCCGTGGCACGACCGTACACTCAAGAAATGATCACAGGCGTGCCTCCTCCCGACGATGTGGCCAACAAGGCTGCCTGGGAACGCGAGCTCTTGTCCTTGACACAACGCATTCAACAGGGAGCTGCCAACAAAAAGAAGACGGTCATTTTTTGCAAGCACATGGCCAAGCACTGCTTCTTGTACGATTTTGAAAAGGAATGCGATGCGGGAAATAATAATCCAGATGATAATAATATCACTCTGATCCACAAACACTTGCTGCTCATTCGAGATCCGGTCCAAGTGTTGTCGTCTTGGAATCGATCCGCGGACGTGCATGGGAATATTGCCACTCCGGATGAAGTGGGGATTGTGCCGCTCTTGTCCATTTATTCCTCCCTGCAAAGTAGAGCCACAGCAACAACCAGTACAACAACCAGTACAGCAACATCAACAACCGACAGCTCCACCGTGGTGTTGCTAGATTCCGATGAATTGGCGGCAGATCCAGAAGGGACGCTCTCCAACACGTGTTCCGATCTGGGAATTCCCTACCAAGAAAATATGATTACCTGGAAGAGTGGACCTCATGCATGTGATGGACCCTGGGCCAAGGTGAGTGGACATATTTATTTCTCAGTGGATATTGTTGTGTTTTGGATTCAATCCATTACGATTGTGGAGACCTTTTTGATTGTCCAATTAACTTTTATCATTCATTTCTGCAGTGGTGGTACGAAAATGTGCACAAGTCCACTGGGTGGCACAAAGCAACAATCGACTACAAACAATACTATCCGGAAACAACCGTCACCTACCGGACACTCCATCCCGAACTCTTGCCGGCATTACATGCATCCTTCCCCGCCTACACATTTCTACAAGGTCTCACCAAACGATCACGAGAACGGGGTGGACCACCTCCGTACGAAGATCCACGGAATGCGCACATTCTCGTCTATATTGGAGCCAAGGGAGTCACGCAGGGATGCATTGTACCACGACAAATGGCCGCTGTCAATCCCTGGGATTCCGTAGTGCAAGGAGGGGATGCTTGTTGGGAAGGACTACGGGTCTATCGTGGCAAGATTTTTTCACTCGACAAGCATTTGCAGCGATTGATGAAATCCGCCAAGGCACTGGGATTTGAAAACAATAATAACAGTATGCATACCCTGCCGGAAATTCGACACGCACTCTTTCAAGTTTTGGCCGCCAATGGGATGCGAGATGGCGCTCATGTGCGTTTGACATTGACACGAGGAGAAAAGTACACGTCTTCGATGAACCCCAAATTCAATGTGTATGGAACCACTCTCATTATCTTGCCCGAGTGGAAACCGACCGAGGTGAGTCGAGTCAGTGAAGGATGATTGATAGATGGATGGATGGTTAGTTGTTGTGGTGTTGCTGACAGAGTTCTAACATGATGGGTACAATAATGCTGCTTCGACAGGGAGCCACTACATATGACAATACCAAGGGCATCAAGTTGATTTCTTCCAGTCAGAGACGCAATCCACCCTCAACCGTTGATTCTAAGATCCATCACAACAACTTGGTACGTACTACAATACACCTGATGTTGGGTGGGCATAAAGAAGTCTGCTGAGAATGCTCTGACGATACTTACTTGCTCAATGTTGATTTATTATTGTTGGCGTGCTTGCAGATCAACAACATTCTTCCCAAACTCCAAGCCAACGTGGCCGGTGTGGATGATGCCATTATGCTCGACTTGGAAGGATATGTCAGTGGCACCAATGCCACCAACATTTTCCTGGTGGATGACAATGGTGTCTTGATGACCCCCTCTGCCGATCACTGCCTCCCGGGGATTACACGACAAACCGTTTTGGATTTGGCCCAAGAGTTGAGCATTCCCACATGTGTGCGCCGACTGTCCTTGGCCGAGTTTTACAGTGCTGAAGAAGTCTTTACGACGGGTACCATGGGTGAATTGACTCCCGTGACGTGGATTGATGGCCGAGTGATTGGTAGTGGTGGAGAACGTGGTGAGAATACCAAGCGGTTGCAGGAAGCCTACAAGACGTTGCCGGAACGACCGGGGTTTGCTACCGAACTACCTCCGTACAAGTAGTAGAGAAAAAAAGAGAAAATGCAAGAGTTGAATTTGCAGGTGACCCATGGCGGCTTGACGGCAACCATCGGGAGAGATTCACCACGACAACGGTACAATACGCCAACCAAGAAAGCAACTTCAGATAGACCCTTAGTTTTGATTATCTTTTTGCAATACATACAGAGGGCAACCAACAGGAAGAGGTGAGGGAGAGGATGAGCAGCACCTCGTGCACCCATATCCCTCTACCAATAGAACCTTCCTACTTCCTAAGGCTGGATGATGGATCCAGATAGCTATCCAGATCCAATCCTTCGTTTGTGAGTTTGTGAGCAAAGTAGTGGCCGCGATTACAGCTGCAGGCAGCTGCCAGCAAACGGGAACTGGTCAGTGCTGCGGGTGAGTGCATAAGGCTCCTTCACGGTCATTTGTCACAGAACCAGAAATCAGACTTTGCGCAAAGAATTGACTATCATTTGTTTGTAAGAACCATTCCAGTCATCATTCAGACAGGCCTTGAGGAATTAAGATCTGGTGCTTCAAGTAGGCTAGAGAACTCGAAGGAAGTGATGAGCCAGTAGTGTTCAATCATGCTGTGGTCTGTGGTCTGTGGTGACATACAATCATACAATGTGCACAAGTACCGTAAATTGGTTGAGAAGCAGACAGTAAATAGTACCTTTTGAAAAATGTGAAGCGGACCGAAAAAGACCGTCGAAAGCAACCCTCCTCCTTCCTTTGAGAACTGCCACCACCACCACCGTAGATAGCGCCATTATACCAATCTGTCAACCCGAGCGTCATTCTCCTTTCGTTCGGTGTGAAGCTCTATCTATTGATAGACTGTTGCAGGCTTGGCTCTTGGCTCTCTTATTATTAATGTCCTGACAGGGCTAGTCTAGTTCACAACAATCAGCTGTACAAATAGATTCCTTCCTTCCTTCGTTGTACTAACTATCTCTTGGACACTACTATACCGGTACCCATCGAACAGACCAGAACAGAAGAACAAGATGGAACTGCCTGCCCATCTTCGGAACTCGATGCACAAGCATCAACAACGAACGGCTCGAGCGCAAAAGAGTCGACCGTCGATGCTGATACAGCAGCCCATGTATTATCGCGACGAGAGTACCACGGCGTATCCGGGACAAGAAGACAATCCGTACAATCTCGACTTGGACGAAAGCGAAGAGGAAGACGACAGCTATAGCTATACCAACAGCGACGACGACGACGACAATGATTCGTTTGCCGGTGGCGGCTACGAGACGGAAAGTGACGATGGCAAACTGTCGCCGGAAGAAGCACGGAAACGAGAAATGGAAAAACAGCAAAAAATTGGTGCCAAAGAACATCAACGCGTCTTTCGCGCACGGCTCTTTGTGGTACTGCTCTTTCTAGGAACCGCCTGTGCCAATGCACTCATTGTCTATTATCTCAATGTCAATCATGAATACGATGATTACTATTTTCATGTAAGTCAAGACAGAGGAAGCAAGAAAAAGGGAGGAAGAAAACAGACAAAAGGATGGAGTTCTGGTTGCCAGGGGACACTATGACTCTATAGTGAGAATGCTCATGATTTCCTTTTGTTGTTTTGTTTCTTGTGTGTTGTGTTATACAGTTCAATGAATTGGCCACGGAGATTATCCAGGGCACACAAGAGAATGTCCGTGTCGTCTTTCAAGCCATGGATGCCATGTCCGTGGCACTCACCACTCGAGTCGGCGACGATCCCACTACCGCATGGCCACTCGTTACCTTTCGCGATTTTGCCATTCTAGCCGAAAATGTACGCAACGTTACAGGTGCTTGGCAAATTGTCTTTGTGCCCATTGTCATGGAATCCCAACGCCAAGCGTGGGAACAATACTCGGTCGACAATCAATTCTGGGTACGAGAAGAATTTCCGCTCATTACCGAAGATGCCTTTCACGAACGATTGTTACAGGCGGCGTCTGCCAATCAGAGTAGTAGCACTACTAGCAGTAGTGAGATGATGAGGAGGATGCAGTATTATGATGCACAACAACAACAATCGCAATACATGCTCTATGACGGCACAGAATCCTTGAGATATCCCCCTCCAACCCCACAGCAAACACGACAATCTTCACAACACAACAACGAGACAAAGCGACAACAACAAGAACAACAAGAAAGAACCAGACGACGACAACAATACGTAGAACACAATCTGCGTGGAGTGATTCCGTCACGGATACATCCCGCACCCACACGGGAAGAACGACTCACACAAGGAATGCACTATGCTCCTGTATGGCAAATGTCACCCGTACCCTACTATCGAGGAATCATTAATCATGACATGTATCGAGAACCGTCCTTTCATCACATGAGTCATTACATTCACGATAACAAACAAGCCGTCATTTCCAACCAACTCAATGATCCCATCATTCAACTATTCGTCGAAGAACACAATGCCCGCGAAAATCCATACGATTATTTCGATGAGACCACCAGCACAACCACATCTACCAGCAGCAGTAGTAACATTTTTACCAGCAGCAATCCGGAACACAGCAACCAACAATATCCTCCCACCGGTGTCTTGGTGCAACCCGTATGGGATTCTCTCAATCCACTCACGGCATCAGTGGCCGGATATCTCATTGCCATGATCCCGTGGGAAACCTATCTCGTCGATTCCTTTCGGGCCGACAGCGAAGAAGCCGTGTTGGCACGATATCAATGCGAGACAACATCCGAGCAGGAATCCTTAAAGTTCAATTACAAGGCGCACGGGGGACAGAGTGTCACCTACTTGGGGCCCGGAGATATCTTTAATGGAGAATCCGAATTCGATTTCAACGTGGAACGAACCATGACATTTCCCATCCAGCCACCGTCCTCGGTCGTTCGAGACGATGTATTGGAACAGCTCGTTCCGACAGTGACAAACTACACCAACGCAACAAACGGCACCAACGCAACAAACACCACTCATGCCCCGCCATTGTCGGAGTGTCGGATTGAAATCAAGTTTTATCCATCCGAGGAACTACGGACTCTGTACATTACCACCAATCCTGTGTACTATGCCCTCATGGTATTGTCTGTTTTTGTACTATTGGCGTTGGTGTTTTACATTTACAATTGTTTCGTGGAACGTCGACGAGGACGGGCCATGGCGGTGGCGGAGAAAACGAATCGAATTGTCACCAGCCTATTTCCCAGTCATTTCGCCGATCAACTCATCTCGGAAGACAAAAAGAAGGAGAAAGAAAACAAGAAAAAGAAGAAGAAAAAGGTGGTCATTGAGGAAGCTCCGACACGACAGTTGAAAAAGTTTATGAATGACAAGAATAGCAAAAACAACTCAAGTAGTGTCGAAGGCTTGGGATTCGGGGAAGGCGATGGAGGAGAGACTCCATTGTTTTTGGCCAACTCGAAACCCATTGCGGATTTGTTTCCCGAAACCACGGTGCTATTTGCAGATATCGCGGGTAAGTTGCTGCACAGCCATGTTACGACCATGGCTGGATCGACTCTGCCGTGCAGTGCAGTCTATCCCACTCTGCTCGGGGAACTCACACTGGACTTTCTTCGCATGCACTTTTAGGTTTCACTGCGTGGTCGTCGGTGCGCGAGCCCTCGCAGGTATTCACACTGTTGGAAACTGTAAGTCGCTCCGGAAACATATAGACCGAATAGATCTCCTTGGCCGTGCAGACTCAACAACCGTCTCCAAACTTTTTCGGCAGATCTACCAAAATTTCGACTTTCTGGCCAAGCAGTACGGAATCTTCAAGATTGAAACGGTGAGTTCCGTGGCTGCAGACTCGACTCGTAGCACACATCAATCATCGACTTGCACTAACACGCTGTTTGGACTGCGCGTGGTAGATCGGGGATTGTTACGTTGCGGTACGTTTGTTTGACCCTGTTTTCGAAGGATTGCCCGTAATTTTGATTTCGCAAATGTATTGATCTATACTTGTGATTGCTAGGTTTGCGGTACGTGATACGATGTATAGATCTTGACACGTCAACGGTCGTACGACTGAAACCTAATGCAATGTCCTGTGTTTCCTGTGATCCTCGCAGGGCTGCCAGAGCCACGAGCTGATCATGCTGTGGCCATGTCCAGGTTTTCTATTGCTTGTCTTCAAAAGATGAAAGGGCTTGTGTCTGAACTGGAAGTGACACTGGGTAAGCCTAAGAAACCTGCTGTAATTCGTCCTCTGCGCCATCAAGACCTCACATCAACGCCTCCTCTTCGTTGTTCAGGACCTGACACCGGAGACTTGACAATCAGAACTGGACTTCATTCTGGGCCAGGTGAGTAGAAATTGCTCGTTCTCGGCGATGCTCGAATGGAAAGGATGTGACATCTAAAGTCCTTCTGGCCGCCCTTTGATCAACAGTGACAGCTGGCGTTCTTCGGTAAGCAATTGTGGTCTCTGGTTTATCGGTCCATATCCGCTTCTAATGAATGAATGCTCATCCTGTCGCTTGTCAATGTGAACTTCTCAGTGGTGAACGAGCAAGGTTCCAGGTAGGCGCCGGGCATCTGCGATGTGGAGTGAATCGACTTGCGTGTTGTGGCGGTGCCAGAATCTGAACCCGCTTCTCCTGTAACTCTGTAGTTGTTCGGCGATACAGGTAGGCAGCTCTCAACGAGAATGACGCACCTGAGGAAGTTGCGTGCTCACTCAATCTGTCTTCATTCTCCGCCTTGCTTGTTCCAGTAAACACGGCTGCACGGATGGAATCAACGGGAATGAGAGACAAGATACAGATTTCTCAAGAGACTGCTGATTTGCTGGTAGGGGCTGGAAAGAGTCATTGGTTGACGAAGCGAGATGGATTGGTTAAGGCGAAAGGTAAAGGTGATCTTCAAACTTACTGGTTGAAACTCAGCTCGATCGACCGTAGGGGCTCGATAGGCGGTGAACGACGTAGGCATTCGATGGGCGGTCCCTCTCGCACCTCCAGTGTTCGAGACAGCTTTGGCGGTTGCAGCAGAGGCAGTGGTGCCAGCAGTAGACTGGACTCTTCTGATCCGCGTCGGATGATGTCGGCCAACAGTGACCGGAATGTCACTGGGAGCAGGCCCACCTCTGAGATTGAGACTACCAGTTTGCTTGACAGGAAGGATCTGCCAGTCAAACTATCAAAGAAGCAACAGCGTCTGGTAGAGTGGAATTGTGAAATGATACAACAACTGCTTCGCCAGATTGTGGCGAGAAGAAACTTTTTAAAGAATGCGTCCAAGCCAATGCATCTCCCATTCACAGCCATGATGTCGGATCTTCCCAAGTTCGGGGCGCCAAGGCAACAACATCAGGGCGTGCCATTGGATGAGGTCGTTGAAGTGATCAACCTACCGGAGTTCGACGTCGCAGCGTATGTTGGCTCCACAGATGCCAAGCACATCCGACTGGACCCCGTAGTTGTGACCCAATTGAAGAAGTTCATCTCCCTTCTTGCCTCGAGATATCGCGACAATCCTTGTAAGTATTGGGGCTTGCTTGGCATTGGTTGTTTCCTCGATGTCACATACATCACTGACACTAACACTTGTGTTTTGAAAAAGTCCACAACTTCGATCACGCAAGTCATGTCGCCATGTCTGTGGGAAAGCTCTTGACACGGATTGTTGCTCCCGACCTTGCATCTATTAACGAACGACACGACAACAATCACGATATTAGTAACAGTATCCACGTCACCAATGACATGAAAGATCTGCACGAGTAAGTGGGCATTCCGGGACATTGCATTGCGTTGCGTTGAACTGCGTTTTTTGTACCGGACCTCGGCTCACTCTTTTGGTTTCTTTCTTTCTGTTCGCTTGTCGATCAGTCATACGTACGTCTTTGACATTTTTGATTGTAGAGAAGCAATGAGGTAAAGTGCAACGAACAGCTTACACTGTCCCTTCCTTTTCGTTTGTTTAGATATGGAATCACGAGGTAAGTGAAGGAAATTTGTGTGGCACGCCCATCACGACTCCTTCATAATAGCAGCACGCCACTCACACGTTGCTTTGTCCTTACTCTGCCAGTGACCCGCTCACACAACTGGCAGTGGTGCTGTCCGCCTTGATCCATGACGCGTAAGTCGATTTTAGTCTTTGTGATGTATGCGAGTAACGTGTGGACTCGGACGTCTCCTCACGAACTCTTGCTCGACAATATCGTGTGAAAGTGACCATCGAGGAGTCCCGAACAACATTCTTATCAAGGAGGAACCCGAGATGGCGGCCAAATACAACAATAAGAGTGTGGCGGAGCAGGTGCGTGGGCCCACTAGTTACCTCTGCCTTTCCTGCAATGCTTTTCGCGCAGAAACTCACCTCATACACATCTACTTTGCCATGTAGAACTCCGTGGACATTGCCTGGGAGATTTTTATGGCTGACGACATGAAGGAACTGCGGGAGACAATTTGCCCAGAATTCACGGAATTGAGACGCCTTCGGCAGATCATCGTAAGCAGCGTCCTTGCAACTGACATCTTCGACCCTGAACTCTCAGCCCTTCGAAAGGCACGCTGGAACAAGGCTTTCCAACAACAAAAGCCGAAGCGACTCTCAGAGATGATGACACCGTTCGACAAGAGGCGTTCTTCATTCAACGTGACAGCGGTAGCCATGAATTCCAATCCTCGACACGAGCCTCGACACGAGGTCAACCGAAAGGCAACAATTGTTGTAAGTTCTTCTCGTTGCTGGAGTTCTTGCCCATAGACCTCCCTCTTGATGTCTTCTAATCCTGTGATGCTCGTTCACCCCCTCCACAGATTGAGCATTTGATTCAAGCATCGGATGTTGCTCACACAGTAAGTCAACAATCGCCGTTGCAAACCAGAAACTAAGCATGAACATTTTGCTCACGCCATTTCGAACTGCCTTCCAATGACAGATGCAACATTGGCATATCTACCAAAAGTGGAACGAGGTACGACTTCACTCTGCTGCCTTCCTCCTCCGCTGATTCTGGGGCACTCACATCAAATGTCTTTGGGGTGCCGATCTTGTTTGCAGTGTCTTTTTAAGGAGATGTACCAATGCTACAAGCAAGGGAGGTCAGACAAAGATCCTTCAGAAGGCTGGTACAAGGGTGAAATCTGGTTTTTCGACAACTATGTGATTCCGCTAGCAAAGAAGCTCAAAGACTGCGGAGTATTTGGGGTCTCTTCCGACGAGTACCTCATCTAGTAAGTTGTTTCACGAGGGGTTCCGAGAGACAGCTCCAAAGCTATTATTACAGTTTTGTTTGATCTAACTGGATTCTTTGCATCTTATTTGCGCAGTGCCGAGCAGAACAAAGCTGAGTGGGAAGAAAAAGGCGAAGCCATAGTGGCAAGCATGCTGGAGAAGTACGGAGATGCAGTTGATCGCGCGGCGCTTGGGTACGAGTAGACGTACCGTCAGAATCTCGAATGATTGGATCATTCGATGTCTGAAGCGATGGGAGTGAACTACTGGTAGTACAGGAAAGAAAGTGACGGGATTACTGGCTTCAATTCAGGAAGTAACTTCATGCTTGATCCACTTGCATGTTTTCCACGATGAAGCAGACCAGAGGCTGGACGGAGTAAGGCATGGCTATATCTCCGTGGAATAGCGGAAACGAACGGATAGCTAGACACTAAAGGATGGCACGCACTTTTGTCGCAGTCCAAGTTTTGGCTCTTTGCACCCTGTTGCGCGTTTCTGTGTTGGTAGAATGATTCATTCAATCCAAAGCCCGAAGAAGAAAATGATGCAAGCAAACCATGAAAGTTTGTCTCATTCGATGTACCGGTAGGTCTGCTGGGCTCGAAGCGATTACAGCAGAGATTCCAATCTTGCTCTCCGAGTGGAGTGAAGGCTTTTGCTGCTTTCCTTAGAGTGAAGCCTGCGAGCCTATTCATTCAGGGTCGCGATTGCTTTGGGTCCAAACCTGACGAGGCCAACAATGGCCGTGCAAGAAACCCATGCTACATGTACAACGGCGGTCTCATAGAAAGCCTTTGGTATCTTCATGCAAGGAGGCCAACACCGGCATTGCGGTCAAGAGGAACTGCAGCAGGATCATGTGCTTGATCTTTCTTCCTTTTTGGCCCCACTCAGCATTGGCACATTTACAAATAGTGGAACCGAAGGTTATTCTGTGAAATGGCTCATGAGGAGGGGAGGTCAGGTAAAGGATCCAAAGATGTCTGCTGTGCTTCCAATGTCTCAGTCATCCCTGTAGCTCTCAAACACTATCTCATCCTGCTGCTACGTCTTCTTGGACAGCTAAGCATCCATCAGAGTTCTCGTACAAAGGAGGGCTCGGATTTTTGATTACTACCCATTCCATTGACAAAGAAGCTACATGAATGTGGAGTCTTTGGTGTTTCTAGTGAAGAGCTGTCCAATCGCCGTGAACGGGAAGCCAAAGGGCAGGACATGGTACAGGATTACATGGCTTACCTCAAGGAGGAAAGCATCTGAAGGGGAAATGACAAGCCATTGTACAAAGAACTGGTGCAGAGTTGAAACAAACATGCAATGACAGTGCAAGCAAAGTATCTCTGTTGCAAACTGAGCCATGGCATGGGTATGCTCGACCAGAAAACAAGAACACTCTGGTGTAGAGATTCACTCCTGCGCACATTGGCGTTGAGCAGCCAGCTTGGACAATGGCAGCCGAGCCCTCGTGGCAACATTCCGCGTTGCACTCTAGACAACTGTGGAACTGTTGCGAGGAATCTGGAAACTTGCCATTCTAAGAATCAGTTTGGATTTTTTGCTGCATTCTAAGAATCATTCTTGCTTTTTCCCTTTTAAAACACTGTCCACACTAACCCACCCACACGCCGCTATGGCGACTACGAGAAAACACCCAAGGACGGACATCTGGACTATGGAATTATCGTAATGCATCCCAAGGATCTAATAAGGTAAGCTCCTCGCTTCCGGTCAAAGCTAAAGCGGAAACGATCGCCTGATTTCTCACACATCTCTCAGCCAACCTCCAGCAGGGGCAGTGGCGCGGGTAGCGTCGACTGATGAAAATGACGCGGAATCGTCAACTCAGGCGGGATTTTCGTGACGAGTGACTTGGCTACCGGCACACCGTTCAATTCTTCGAAATATTTGCCGAGAAAGCATTCAGTGGCGTTCGGAGCAAGCGCAGAAAGTACAATGCGAAGACTTCTCGCAGGGAGTGGGCTGTGGTCTGGGTCGGACCTCGGACGATAGATCTGCGAGTCCTTGCCTTGAACACTCGCTGCTTGCCAAAGACGCACCTATAATCAATTATAAAATGGGAAAATAATACAGTCTACCAGCGGTGCTGGCACCAGGTACCATGTAGCTAATAGACACAAGTATTGCCGCCGAAAGCATGTTGCCAAGGGCTACAACAAGCCCAAGGATGACAACAAAGTTGATCAAGAACAAGAATGGATTAACTCCTGCACACCAGCCAGTTCCCGTCGGGGGAGCTACGACTACCCATGCAACTTCGAGCCAAACACAAATTTTGAAAACCGTTTGATCTCATGGTTCGTCGAAGTTTGGTTTCATTTTGATTTCAAAGGCCACACTGCCATATTTATGTCATCGTCATCGACCAGATCGTCGCTTTCGCTTTTTTGGGCCGTTTCACGTTTTACTCTCAACAAACGAACGTCATTATCTGCGTTGCTACAATCACTAGTAGAGCTATCAAGAGTCAACATTAGAAGAGATGAAGCAAATGAAGATGATGGATCCGCGAAAGATATTTGGAATCAGAGCCAAGGCATCGAAGAGACCAAATGTAAGCAGCTATTAGTATCCCAGATAAGATAATGAATGTATCATTCATCGAATGTTTCTGTGTGATCTCACCACTTGCCGTTATTGTCGTCCTCATAGCACAAGACCTTCGTGGCCGAAGCAGCTTTGAACGCTCGTCAACCCCTGACAACGGTGACAAACAATCATGGTTCGACTTTTGTAGTCGTCAAGCCACAAGAAACCAACAAGATCAAGAGCAAGACTGTCAAGAGCGTTGATATCCAGACCAAGACGAAGAATGCCGACAATATTGGTCAAGCCCTCCTTCGACGCCGCTCGATGGAACATATCCCGTGGCTGCTCAAGAATCAGTCGGCCGTCACGAAGAACGATCTGCTCGGTATTTTGTCCTCTAAGGAACGAGCCGATCAATTTGGCGAACGCATTGTCCGAGAGCTCTTTCGCGCGGACGAAATGGAAGAGAGCCACGTCCTGGAAGCGCTGCAACTGATTCAAGTGCTTATGGGGCTCCTCCCTGCGACGAGTAAGTGGCGATGGCATTTGATCGAATCCTTGGCCCATTGTGGCGCCATAGAAGCCATTCTGACCAAGTTGGAACGCGTCGCAAGCCCCAAACTACAACGACGTTGCCTCGCTGTCTTGGCGCATTTGAGTGACCATCCTTCCATGCCGAGCAAACTATTCCATCCAACGAATTTCGGCGTGACAATCAAGGTGAAGCCCATGCTTAGTTTGATGGTTTTGCTTCGTGGGAATCAGCAAGATCCCGTCCTTCTCTCTTGCTGTTGCTACATTCTGTACAATTACTGCCTGTACAATCGCCAAGAGGCGACACGCACGATTGTTTCCACCCCGAATTGCCTCGAATGCTTGGAACGGGCTCACTTTTACGCTGCCACGTACCACCCCAACGCCATGATTGTTCAGACGGTCAACGAGATCTTTCGACGAATGGCTTTTACAATGCAAAGCTCCATGAAGGACATCAAGAAGGCCAAGTTTGGCAAAGAGGAACAGGAATGTGAGGTCCACCGAGGCAACCGACCCCGCACAACGACACTGTACGATATGGACCGGGTTGACAACGATATCAAATACACTGTATTGTGAGCACGCAATCATGGAGCCATGTATTAGTCTTTTGTCTGACATTCTTCTACGCAGGCACCTTCAAGCGGCAAGTATACAGCAGTCTTACTAAATAGATTGTAGAAGGATCATTGTATTCTAAGATCAACGTTAATTTTGATTGTCCATCGCGCGAATGATTGAATTCATTTTTTAGCTAGCCATGCCAACCACAAAGAGCATGCAATGTTGTGTCAGTATTGAAATCTCATTGTCATTGTTGCAACCGTAGCCACAAAAAATTTGTCCGTTTTGCATTTGTGGTTCTATTCCTCTTCCAACAAAGAATCTCCAACGGTTGTGGCACTGTTGAGCGCCTTGGCCAATCGTTTGGAAGCCTCCTTTCCAATATCGTTATTGTCGCAATACAAATGTTTCACTGCAGTCTCTCCCTTGCATTCCGTCAAGACTTTGGTAAAGGCATCGGCACCCACTGGTCCAATACGATTGCCTTCCAAGAAAATCTTTGAAATGGTTTTGTTGGTTTGGAGAGCTTCGGCCAATGCCGTGGCTCCATCTGGTCCGATACTGTTGGATCCCAAAAAGAGTTCTTGCAGTGGATTGCCATCTAGTTTGAGCCATTGGGCCAATGCCACGGCTCCTTGATCCGTAATCGAGTTGCCTTCCAAAAACAGTTTTACCAATCCAGTATCCGTGTCTTTTTGTAAAAGGGTCGCGAGACCTTGACACAACGCTTGGCATCCTTCCGGTCGAATATCATTATATCTCAAGTCCAAACACTTGAGACTGAGTGCCGTTGGTAAATATTCCTGCGCCACCACCGTCGTTCCGGCATCACGGAGACCATTGCCACCCAAATGGAGCGTCTCCAACAAGACTAATTCTTTCAGAATAATCACTTCTGCGGAAATGGGCAAATCGGTTCCACCCAGATTGAGTGTCTGTACGGACGACAGAACTTCGGGCACTCCATCACCATGAGGGATTCCCTTGCGGAGTCGACAACCTCCCAAATCGAGTGCTACTACCAATCCTGTTTCGTCATCGCATTGGACCAAGGGACTCCAGGCGTCGGCACAGTGCTGATTGTCGATGTCCACACTGAGTTTGTTGTGAAAGACACCTGCCTCACGCAGAGTGATGAGGCCCTTGAGGGCGTCGGGGTGAATGGCGGAGGAAGAAGAGGACAGCGTCATTGTTTCCTCTTTTTTGTGAGTGCTTTCAAATAATGCTGCATCCAAGCCAGCAAGCCTGTTTTGAAACCTTTGACCGGGGCCAAGAATGCAAGCCTGAGAGATAGATGATCTGGGAGTTCTCTACCCCAAGATCTTTCTTCCTTACTTTTTAGTTGTTCTTTCAATCCCAACAGGTACAGTACTACAGATAGCAAGCATCTAGTAGTAGTAGCTAGAGCGCTTAGCACTTACTCTGAGTTCTGAGTACTAGTATTCATCTTCACGAGCATATGGAATGATCAATCAGTTTTTAAAGGTCCTGCGGGATGTCTGTACGTCTGTATGTACATGTAGCTAGCTAGAGTGCTTAGCATGTAGTATGAGTTCTTGCCCACCCAGTACCTGGACCGTCCGACGGTTTTTGCTCAGGTTTAAAAACTGCTCAAATCGTGGTTCTTGTTAAGGGAATGTTAGGGGAATGTTGAAGCTTTAAGGGAATGTTTAAGGGAATGTTTCAGATTTAAGGGAATGTTTTAAAAGGGAATGTTTTTAAAGGGAATGTTTATTTTGGATAAGGGAATGTTCTATTGGGTTTACATGAAGGCTTAAAGGAATGTTTCGAAGCCTTAAGGGAATGTTGTTAAGGGAATGTTTATTTAGGGGAATGTTTAAGGGAAAGTCAAAGATTTAGGGGAATGTTTAAGGGAATGTTTCAACCTGCAAAATTTAAAGTTTTTTAAAACCTGAGCGAAAACCGTCGGACGGTCCTGGTACTCTTCTTCATGAGCATCTGGAATGATCAATCAGTTTTTTTAGGTCCTGCAGTATGTCTGTAAATTTATACCTACGCGCTACCTATCCACTATTAGAAAGGCATACAACTGTACAGTACGTCCTTTCTGTACCGGTACGATACCGGTACGGCCTACAGCTGGTGAAGTTCAAACAGGGTTCGCTTTAGAGTACAGTAACCCGGATACTCTGAGTACTGAGTATAGCTTACGGTACCAAAGATCCTAATAAATGATTGCGACGCGCGGTCATGGAAACCAACCTCCAATGCGCACATACTAGTACTTATTGTTTCGCGTACACTTCTTGCCTTGTGCCGGCTTTGGAATGACTGGGCACATGGTCTTTCGCTCGGCGAAGTCTAAACGAAATAAAGCCGAAAGCCAGAAGGCTGAAATCTCAACACAATCAATGTAAGTCAGCGGGAGCTGCGATACCTCGGCAGAAAGACAAATAGAAGAACGAGGATCATGTTTGAGATTGCATCCTTCTTTCAAGGTAGCCCTGGCGACAACACCCGACTTCGTCGTGTGTTGCCGCCTGGTATCATTCCCTCATTGTAACCTTCTTTTTATTTAAGCTAGCCCTGGCGACAACACCCGACTTCGTAGTGTGTTGCCGCCCGCTGACCATAATTTTACAGCTGTCATTCCCTTATGTAATTGTATTCTTTGTAGCTTCTGCAGGCTTATTGTGTTGAGTGTACTAACCTTGAATAATCATGATTTATTCCTACCCCTAAATTTGTAGAACCTTCAATTTCCAGTTTTGTTGGCTTAAGACTATCTCTATCCCTATATTTTGGCTTCGCCGGAATAGGAAATAGCATTTTAAAGGGGTTGAGAACTCAGGCAGTTAACCTGCCGAGGTAAAAGCAAACCAAGTGGTACCGGTACCGTACAACCGAAACAAAGCAAACAGCAAGATAAAAAATGAAGCTCGTGTTGTTGATTTCCTCCCTCCTGGCCCTTGTGCCATCTGTCTCTGGCTGCACCTGTGCAACTCTGGCAGCCACCACCATTGTTAACACTGCCTTTGGAAGCTATACAGGTAAATCTCGACTTGGAATTTATTTACGACTCGTAGACATCTGGCTCCAAAGTCCAGGCATACGGGAGTCTCACTCTCTATGCTGCCCTGTTCCAAGGTACAACATCGGATGGTGCTGGGGGCAATTTTGACTTGGACTTTGTTTACAACCTCGATTTTCTTCAAGCCAAATTCACAAGGCGATTTTCCTCGTTTGTCTCATCATGCAGCGGCACGGGGGGCATTACCTCCAGCAGCACAACCATGGTCACTTCGACCTCTATCACCATTCCTAGTAGCTAGCAGCACTGCTCCCAGCTAGAGCTATCCTGGCTTCCAGTTAGCATTAGCTAGCTACCCACCAAGCAACCCTCCCAGCTAGGGGTGTAGTAGCTAGGTAGTAGGTTCCCGGTCACAACTTATTAGCTGGCTACTACTGGTGTGTTGGATGGCTTGTGTTGGAGGGCTTGGACGACCGACTATCCAGAAGTCATTAACCATCGTGCTATAGTGCTATAGTCTACCACCTCAACTCTGTTTCGCTCGCTCCACTGGAGCCATTCACAATCACTTCCAATATCTACACATTTGCACTCCGTTCGGTACCAATGATGAAATTACATCTTCTGCCCCTTCACAATACGACCCCACTTCCCCCATGCAACAACTTTGAATACAACCATAGCCAACACAACTCCTCCACTCAGCGCCAAGGTCGGACCAAAGATCATCTCCAGAGACCAGCAAAGAGCAAACACTAGAAGATACGCCATGGCCATGGGAACCTGAATCCACATACTTTGAGATTGCACCCACAAGGTGACTTTGGGAAGAACAGCAACAGCCCGAGACATGCCTTCGGTGTCGACGCCACTGCACGCAGTCTTCATCACGCCCATGCACAAGACTCGGAGAGGAGCCAGACCGGCATGAATCTGGTCATGATTCAAGGTGGAAAGAAACCCAACCAGTTGAGTATCCACAAGAGAAATGTAAGAAGAGGCGGCCACTCCATCCACCACAATGGTTCCACTGGCGGTAAAGGGGGCATAGAGTCCGGACTTGGTACTGGTAGAAATCTTGGTAACCTCCAGTTCTTGGCCGTGAATGCCTTGGAGAAAATCTCCAACCTTGATGGCATCAGCTCGAACAGGACCATGAGCATGAAAAATGAAATGTTCGGGCGACGCCTCCACTGGTTGCTTGCTGCTGGCAGTATGAATCTGGAGAAAGGTTGTCACGTGATCCATCGTTTGATGTCCAAAGGTATAAATGGGTTGGTAGTTTCCCAAGGCATCCAAGACACTGTCTCCCACTTCTAAATCCTTCATGGGGACCAGCCCCAGGTCCTGGACCATAACTGATGCATCTGCCGAAAAACAGGGGGTACCCCGTGGAGGATCAGCGGACGGGGAGACGGGAGCTGCCGCGGTAGGGGTGATGACGGGAGCGGCTGACGGAGCGCCTGACGGAGCCCCAGTAGGACTGCCCGTTGGAGATGAACATGTAATTGCGCAGTCTCCGGAGGCACCAACTCCCGTAGCAGCAATCCCTGCGCCGTCGTCGAAAGCGAGGGTAAAACCGGAGCCATCAAATGTGATGGATGCCGTCGCGGTGGCGGCGCAACCAAGATCATTAGTTCCGGATTC